AACTTAGTTGTTATTCTTGGCTGAATAACTCTAGAAGGTTTTAAAAGCCCTTTAAAATTAAATATGTACACAGTTTGGATTAAATGAAAGTATAGTCAAATTTTTTAATTAGCATGTTTTTGTGTTTTGCTTTGGTTCCGAAATTGGTACCGAGAACCGTGGATTTTGACTGGTATTGGTACCGAATATTGACATTTTGGTACCGTGACAACACTAGTGTGCACTGTGTATATTTATGTACATATAAATACACACACATGCATGTATATATTTAAGAAAAATGTTACGTTTATATATTAAATATATTTATAAGTTTATAAATTATATGAAAATACATATATATATGCAAATACATAAATATTTTCAAATATATTTTGTAAATATTTTCAAAATATATGCTGTATGTGTGTGTATTTATATATAAATAATAAATATACACAAAACACACACATATATTATGTAAACAAAAACTTTATTTTGACAGCACTAAAAATGAGGTAGACAAAAATGCCAGACAACAATATTAGCAAACCATTCTTACCTGATGTGATATTTACGTCCTGCCAAGTGACTGGCCCAGTAGCCAGACTTCCAGAAACGGTATCCATCCATCTCTCTTCGGCTCTCACAGAAAGGCGTGTAACCGTACGGCGCTCCCTCCAGATCAAAGTCCCGCAGCTCCTTCAGGTCTGTGCGAACTATCTGTAGGAAAACGCACAACAACAAAATTTTTCAATCCTAGATTGTGGGTCTTTGTATTCACAGACAAAAGAAAGTAATTGCTGGTAATGGATGCAGGTCAGATGAAAACCTGCATTGCCCAGAAGAAACGAAATCTTTAAATATTTGTATTTATTGTTGTTTATATTTAATCTCCAGCTGCATTTTTCTTTACCCAGAGGTGGCAGCAGTGTATCATCAGATGTGTAATGTGCATGATGCCCTCTCCAGTTTGCATAACAAACACCTTGGATTACAACAACTGCTGTGCAATTCCAGTGACTACAAATGGGTGATCTGTTTGTACATAGACTTTTGAAAATAAATCTCCTAAGAGCAGGCTTGTACTTAGTGCTCACTAGAGATAAGATTTCATGCCACACAACAGCACTGCTCTGTTTTTGTACCTGATCCGCATCTACAAAGAGGATCTTGTCCACAGCCAGCGGGAAGAGCACATCGAGGAACAGGATCTTATATCCCCAGATGATCCTTTGCTTTTCTGTCTGCTGGTGAAGCCAGCGTGGCCATTTATACTGTACCAACTCATACTGGAAACCATACTTCTCTGCCATATATGGAATAAACTCCTACAAAAAGATATACAAAAATATGTAACACTACTGTAATTTTTAATAAGAAATGTATTTATTTAGCAAGGACGCAGTAAACTAGCAGTATAATGCTACAAAAGACTTCTATTTCAAATAAATGCTGTTCTTTCAGACTTTTTATTCATCAAAGAATCATGAAAAAAGCATCATGGTTTACACAATAATATTAAACAGAACAACTGTTTGCAACACTGATAAAATTAAGAATTTTTTCTTGAGCACCAAATCAGCATATTAGCATGATTTCTGAAGGATCATGTGACACTGGAGTAATGGCTACTGAATTTAAAATAATATAAATATAAAATATATTAGTTGAAATGCATTTTTTAATTCTATTTTAAATAGAAAATAATATATATATATATATATATTGTGTAATTAGGCTGCATTTATTTGTCAAATACAGTATAAACAGCAATATTGTGAAATATAAAAAAAAATTATGGCAAAGCCGAAATGTTGAAAATAAAATATAATATATATTACATTAAATACATACAATATAAGGGTCAGTTAACAGTGCCATCATGTTAAATCTCAAATCCAGTACCTTAAAAGTAGGAGACAGGTAGTTTTTGAGGAACCAGAACTTGACGGGTGTCTTGGTGTGTTTGAGCACAGACAGCATCATTATCCTGCAGAGACAGAGAGAGGCCAAAGCTCAACACAGAGTGCCTGCAGAAGAGTTATGCGAGTGACCTTCTAAACTGAGCTGCATTACACAACCAATAACATTGCCATATAAGAATAATATAAGAATCCATAATAAGACACAGCAAGTCACAGAGATCAGCATTTAAAAACAGGCCTAAACAGAACTATATATAAGGAGGAAAATGTCACAAAAAATCAAGATGTGATCCAAGCCAGGAGGTCATGTAAAAGTTATTGCATTTTCTTAATATGTGAAATTAGAAGATGTATGTGTGTCATTTTTCATTATCACATAAGGATATACACAAGAGGACTTGTCTGTATTACATGTCAAAACTGTAGCCATTTCGGCTGCACAAGAATAATATTAAAGTCATATATTTGTCATAGCACAAATGTCATGATTCATTTGAGAACATGAACAGGGCTCTATGCTAATATTATTTGTCTATGCAAACAACGACAACTTGAACATTTGATAAACAAAAATATATATTGGTTATGCTGAACAGGCCAGCAGTTTATGAATATTAAAATAATCCGCTATGGCATTCACAACTAATTGAATATATTTTCATGAATGATCTGTTAAGCCGTTATATGTTTATGTAATTGATGTTTTTTTCTGATTCCATTATATATGCAATATCAGTGTATTCAAGTCACTTGTATAGGTGTAACCAAATATTTTCTTCACATTTACAGTAATTTCCATTAGTAATGCTGGCACTGTAAAATCCAACTGAAAGCAGCCGTTTACCTGAGGAACCGCTCATACAGGTGACCAGAGGCCACAGAAAAAATGTTAATGACATCATCTTTCTCCTGTTTGGGTTCTTCTGGCTTTGAACCACCAGTAAGTCCTCTGAAAGAGATAAAGAAAGAACCATTAACAGACAAATACTGTAAGTGAGAGCTACAGTAGAACTCAACAGGCAACACTTTGTACCTGGTTATAGATGTCCAGAATCCAGAGTCGTTCTCATGGGTATCATCACTAAGAAGTTCCTCTTTCATCATATCAGGCTTTTTCTGCACCTGCAAACATGATTTAGGGCAACAGAATCTATGCATGAAATCCCTCAGCACTAATGTCGAGCACATGCAATTGCAACATTCTGGGAGCCACTTGGAAGGAATTGATCACGTGAATCTTAAATCACAGCATTCTGGTTCTGTGAGACATGGGTGATGGGCAGGGTAGAAACGAGTTATGAAACAGTTTGGAATTGCAAAATAAAGCATGATTTAAATGCAATGCAATAACACAAGTATGTAATGTCTTATTCAGCAAGTATGCATTCAATTGACCAAAAGCATTTCTATGTCAAACAAAGGCTTTTCTTTTGAACTTTCTATTCATCAAAGAATCATTAAAAAAAAACGTATCATGGTTTCCACAAAAATCTTAAGTAGCACAACTGGTTTCAACATTAATAATAAGAAGAAATGTTTTTAAGCACCAAATCAGCATATTATAATGATTTCTGAAGGATCATGAAACACTGAAGACTGAAGCAATGATGCTGAAAATTCAGCTTTGACATTTAAATATATAAAAATAGAAAACAGCTGTTTTAAATTGTAATAATAGTTCATAATATTCCTGCAGGTTCTATTATGAAAAACAAAAATCAATAGAAAGGCTTTAAAGTTGAAATTAAAAAAAAAAACATGTTTTTGTTATATCAATAAAATGCCGCAAAAGTCTGATGTATCAAGTAAATATAAAGTACATGAAAAGTCCATATGTATAAATGACAAGTTTAAAGGTTCTCTAAACAGTTTGAATGAAATTAAGTAAAATATTTAACTCTTCACCTTATTTGACCTAGACTTCATGAGTCAATAAGAGTGATGGGGATTCCTACCTCTTCAAGGTAGATGTTATCTAGATCATAGCGTGTGTGGACAGACTCAACCATCCAGCTCTCGGGGGTGTTGAGGTTGAGGGTAAACAACAGCGACTGTGGCATATCCAAGAATTTAGCCATCGGACCAGGAGCAAAGCTGCTATCTGCCATAAATGAAACCTCCGGCTCCAAAACATATCGATAAAAACTGAGTAGAAAAAACGGCTTAGTTTTAACAGAAACATACAATTATTGTACAAAAATATTACAAGATATTTTAAAACATAAGCTAGCCTAAAACAATAATGTAGCACTTCAGAGTAAATTATGTATTGTCATACCCCACGTTATTGCGGCCTGTAAAAAAATTCAAGTAAACAGTGAAATGTGAAGGTGACTATGATGGAGCATGTGTTCTCACAGAGACACTGTCTCTTTTCTAACCTTTTCAGTGGGAGGTCAGAGAGCTTGGACTGGCAGTTCATGAACACTCGCAGGTTGACGTTGACCAGCTGCTTCAACACCTGAGTGGGCACACAGAAAAACAGGAAGTGACTTGAGTCAAGGTAGAAACAACCAAATGAACCTGCTCTCAACGACAGCTGGTCTCAGAGATAGAGCCAACAAATGCAGACTGACTGCTGACTGACTGTACCTGTTAAATGTCACGGAGAGGGACCAGATGTCCTGTGATGACTAATGCAGGTACATACACAACATGTAGGACAAGCAGGACATGATTCTGGATCAACATCCATTGGGCAACATTCTTAATAAATAATAATGGCTCTAACATAATCAAGAGGTCAAGGTTTGGCTGGTTAGCATGATCTAGTCCAGCCCCTGCTGGTAGATTCAGTATCTAAACCATCTGGGTCCACATGTCCTACTTTTATAAGTTATGTTAAGTGAAGGTATGCAGAAGTTCTCACCAAAAGGAGGGGTGCCAGTTTCTGAGCATCTCTGGTCACTGGATCCACAACAGCTACAACATCGAAGTACACTTCCTCTTCCTTTGGTCTGATCTTTAGAGCGCTGTGAAGAGAAATGGAGAGGAAGTTGACAACTGAATTCTGAGGATTTAGAGATGTCCTGGTATGAGAAGAAGTGACGTACCTGTATCTGTCTTCTGCAAAAGTGTGCTCGAGCCTTGCCTCACCTTTGGGTTGGGAGGACAGCAGGGCGTCCACCTTCATCACCAGATCACTAGCTCTAAATCACAATGCATACAAAACAAACAAATCGAGGCTAAGACACAAAATCTATTTTATGCAAGTAAATGAATGCAAATGCTTCAAGCTAAACAAGCTCACTTTCACGTGTCGTCGCATTAAAAAATGTCAGAACACCATTCAGCTTGAAAAGAATTATGCTGTGCAACTTAGTTCCTTTTTGTTCATCTGTGTAGACATGTTTATAACTAGATAGATGATTAACAATCATTTAATGAGAACAGACATTTGAACACAACCATTGTACCCCACTAAGGGGTGTGAATATTTTCTCTGATTGAATTAATATTATGAACAATAATTTTATATTGTGGTAAAATTATGGTTAGTTCAGACTTGTTTTTTCACTCTGTCACGCACATTTAAAGGTTGGAGTCTTTCACATCAGTGAAACCCTAAAATATAAATAGCATATTAGGTTTAGAGTTCAAAATGTCCTGCAAAACATGATCAATCAAAATAATAAAATAATTGTGTTTTTTTATGTACTAGCATTTGACTCTAAATATATCTTTTAAAATTACATTTAAATATATTTTAGCTTAATACATTAATTTACCTAAATGTTAATATAGAAATAAACATTATATTGAGATGCCACATTGTGTAAATTATTTAAATTAGATTCACAAAAAAATGATGCCAGTGGAGATCAGACATTGGAAACGATGGCAAAAATGGTTTGTTTTTGTATTGTATTTTGTCACTTTTATTGACATGTATAACAGAGAGGATAAGAAACCAGATTAAAACCTGTGTCACCCACATGAGCACCATAGCTAACCAAATACACATGTGCTAACAAAAGCCTAGCAAAAGGCAAAAATGTGCTCAAACTCTGTCTCACAGAGGCTTGGTGTCAGATTCAAGCACTGATAAAGACAATGACTGCCTCCTCTATTACACCCAACACTTCAATAATCAGCCCTCTAAAAGTTTACTGAGAGGATAATGAACATGGTGTCACTGTCTCAGTCTGCTCTTCCAGTAAATACACATAAAATGGCACGTTTATTACGTCTCCATCTTCAAGGCAGACCGACACACTTCATTAAGAGGAAGTAATTACTGCAGAGAGTACTTGTGATGGTTATGTTTAATGCATTGTAATCCTTCTACAGCTCTGACAGAAGGGCATTCTGTACTCAAAGTGGTTTATAGCTCAGCTTATGTTATATATACTTGAACATTTGCATCAACCAACGAAAGTGTCTATAACCTGTTGCACAGGATTGGTCTAGCATACCTGTCCTCTACCATGCCCAGCTGTTGAATTTTGGCCCTAATACTCTCTCCTGATGTCTTTAGGATAATGCTTTCCAGAAGCAGGAAATCATCCTGGTTGAAGACCTCCCCTTCTTCCAATGGACCAATGATCTGCACAGAAAAAGACAAAAAGCAGAATAAGAAGAGCTTTCATGGCGTCAGGATTCTTGCTATACAAAATGTCTAACTTACTCTTCCATTACTGATCACAGCTCTCTGGCCCTTCTGCAGTTTGAGGACATCCCGACAGTAGGCAGAGTGAGCCAACAGGAAGTTCACATTAGGGGACTCATATGCACTCTTAAACAGGGGAACATCCATGCCCTGTAGGGCAGAAAAATGCAGAAGGATCTGGTTAGATTGGTTCTATATTAAATTCTGCAGTTTAAAAGTGACATTCGCACCAGCAATAGTGAAATAACCCAGAGCAAATAATCCATCACAACTGTAAATGAATTACAGGAGAGCTTATTTTACCCCGACAGCAAACTCTGCGTTCTCGGTGGGATTATTTATCACCCCTAATCGTACATTATTTCTGGTTTTCTAAAAAAAAAAAAAAAAAAAAAAATGACATAAAATTATGATTAGTTTAGACTTGTTTTTTTCCCACTCTAATCACACACATTTAAAGAATAAAGCTGTTATATAAAGTTGCTATAGAAATATTATAAATCACATACTATGTTTAGTGTTTGAAATATCCAATGTTGTTATTAAATAAAATCACATTTAAAAAAAAAAGTTTTAGATTTAATTGAAATAAAGGCAAAATAAAATATAAATATTAGATGAAAAATTTAAAGAAAAAATTTAAAGAAAATTCTAAATGTTACCTTTGCAACTATCTGAAATAGGTTCAAGTACTACAATTAGTCAAACTAATAATGCTTAGTACAAATATCTGAAATAACCTAATAAAAAATGAAAACACACATTACTAAAATTAAAATTAAAGTGAATTAATAAATAATATAATAGTATCCGATAATAATAATAATAATATATATAACATAACCATAACATAAGCAGTAAGGAACAAAGCTATATGTGTGCTGTTTATGTTTTTTTGAACATACATATTTTATTATGAATTATATTAAAATTTTTATATAAAGCTTTATAATAATTACATTGATTTTATAAACATTGATATACTAATACTGTAGTGCGATTTGCTACTTTGTGTGAATACATTTAGATTAGATTCACAAACAAGGGTAGTAACAATTTAAATTGCCAGTCAATGTCTTCTATTAATCAGACAGACCACTGTGGCAAAAAGTTAATTTTATGCACTCCGTACAAGGTTTTATCTTTTACAGCTAACTTTGACGGAACTGGCTCAGTGACATTGCCCTACCATGTGACGTATAGCATCATACATCAGCTGTCGTCCCGAGGGCTGGTCAAAATCTCCCACTACCCAGAAAGTCACTGGACGGATGATGCCATCATCTGCAAGTCAGAGAAGGACAGACACACAGGCTGAAGAAAATTACACAGTCGAGAAATGCTGTTTCCTCATGCAATCTAAAGAGGTGAGTGAAAATGATGTGAGGAACTGAAAGCATTCTGGTTTGTCTTAGGTTTTAACAGTCAAAAAGGCGAGATGTATCTGAAGAGCCCAAGCGGCACACAAAGACAGACAGGCAATTTCAACCTAGAAATAAACCTGTAAACGTCTGTAAAAGAAAGATATTACAGGGGACCACAGGATAGAAAGAGTATCTCTTTCATCCATCACACACTGACAGTTCTGACAGATGACAAATGCACAGCTGTGCTTAAATCAATAGCAAGCTTCAGAAAACGTCTTCACTTGGCTAAAGGAAAACAACAACAACAATCATAATACACTAATCTTAAAACTTGCAGACACACTTAAAAAGGAATATTCTGGGGCATTTACAACTTTAGCTATCAATATCATCAGTGGCATACTGTCAATTACCACAGAAAATTATTTAGAGCTGTCCCTCAGTATATTTTAAACTACAAAAACTCATTCAGAGAAATGCACTTGGTTTATAATGAAAGTCTAGATGGCCAGAGCATTTAAGAATATGAGGCTTGTATTTCAGTTGAAGCGCCAACATTATATTTGTCTGAATTGTCCTTTTGAGGTTGGACTGCTTTTCTAGATGGACAAAATTCTGATGTAATTTCACTTCTATATATTACGTCACATCCCTTCATACTTTCATCCTTGTATCACACATACCGAGCCTAACAGAGGTTTTCATGTTTGTACTTTTAAAACAGTGGGACAGAAAAATTGACATTTTAAATATTTATAGATATTTATTCAAAGTAGTTGCACACTGACCTGCTAGGCTTCCATTATAAGTGTATTCCTGTAAATGCATTCCCATTTGTGTACACAAACTGAGAGACAGAGTCAAAGTTAGCCTACTTCCTGTGGTAATCGACAGCATGCCGCAGATGTGGTACACAGACATTAAGTTTTAAATGACCCAGAATATTCCTTCAAGCAACAGAGAGTGTTATGTTAATGATGTCAATGTAAGCTTTTTCTAACAATATCTGCACCCGGGCACTGTATGTTTAGATGAGATCTATGGGAAGTGGGCTGTCAGTTAAGTGAGTATAACAGCTCAATGCAATTACCAGAAGCATCCCTGGTTGACATCCCTGAAATCAGCATTCAAGAAAAACAAGGAATGAAGAAACACAAATAAAAGCAGACAGATATATTTAGTGGTCCACAGACAGTTTTTGGTGTCTAAAGCCAGGTGTACACTAGCATTTTTTTGTGTTGCCTGTCAGATTATATAATGAGACTATACTAAAATTTCTATAATGAGAAATTTTGGCTAAAGGACAAAACTGTTTGTACAACATTAAATATCTTTCATGGCAGACTGTGTGATATACATGTCAGCCAAGTCTTTGGTCATTACTGGGCAATTTAAGTCACCAATCCATTCTCCAAAGCAAACTGAAGGACATTTTTATATTATAATGCAATGAAACACTAAGTACGAAGATATTTGTTGCATATAATATACACAAGCTAGTATCAACTACGTTTTCTCGGTGAGAACGTCATTCTTATTAAACCAAGGGCCAGATTTACTAAGAGCTTGCAGCAGTGCAAACCTTCTTTGGCTTTTTTTAATTTACTAAGATTTGCGATTGTCAATTTTCTAGTATTTGCACCATTATTCAACATCCAACAAATGTAGTATTGTCAGAAGATCACTGACAGAATTTTCCACTCCCATCACCACTTTTAAGGGATTGCGGTCTCATGCTAATTTGCCCTGTTTAGTAAATCTGGCGGTAAGACTGCTTATGACAAATATCTTTGACAACTTCTGAAATTTGATTTGGTTTGCCAAAACCGCAGTGTGCACCTGGGTAAATAGCGTAAGATGGACAGAACAACGAGAAATTATACACTTCCCACAGGTCCCATAGAGAAACCCTCAATTGTTCATATATCAGCAGGTTGCTGCAGCAATCACCTCACCTTTCTTTGTCATGTAATTCAAGCTGTTGGCCACCGCTGCATTCTTGTCTTTGGTGTCCAGAAAGAGGAAACGTGCATATTCGTCGATAAAATGATTGTCTGGAAAAGAAAAGACTTGTTTTTTTTGGAGGTCAGGTGATGGCAAACACTTGGGGAGAAAATGAAAATAAGGTTGTGCTTTGTTCTCTGTTAGAGGTACATTCACATTCATAATTGAATCCAACCAAAGCCATTTCAAATGCAGCTATTTTAAACATGGAGTGCTATTTGAGTTCAGATTGAAATGGGTCTTTTTCTCAGCTTCCTGAAAGACTGCAAATATGCTATTCAAAAGCTATTAAAATTCAGTTTCAAATTCCTTGCAAAAACAAAGCAGTTTATGAATATCATTGCCGCAGTTTCATTTGTACGTCTTTGTAAATAAATGGGCTATCAAGAACAAACAAGACATTTAGCACAGAATTCACAATGAGGCAGATATTCATTCCCGAGAGCATGTGAGAGCGTACGTGTTGTATATCTCAAACTAGCTCATTTACCGGAGGAAAAGCTATTTATGATTCAACAGAAAATAAGTGGGGAGCAGCAAAACACTGAAAAAACTATTTGTTATGAACCCAATCAGACAAGAACTCACTGGTGGCAGAAAGGTCCAGATAATTCCTGTTGGTGCTCAGGACTCTGGAATTGATTCGTGGGACCACATTGGGCTGATTCATGATAAAATCCACTACATCATGGTCACTGTTCAGTTCACCCTGAAAAGATCAAAAGAGTCATTTCAAAAGATGACACTGAAAATAAATAAACTGTACTTCAGATAAATGAAAAAATAAATATATAATATTATTTATTTATATATATATATATATATATATATATATATAT